TTTTAAAGGATTTTTAATCAAAATTTTAATAGTTTTGTTTCTCATCGGACTGGATTTGTTTGACTTTAAAACAACATTTTGCAAATTATCTTGTTTTATATATATGTTCAAAAGTTACATCATTTAGGGAATGTAACGTTAGGGAATTAGAAAATGTGATAAGGGTCCATAGATGATTTACGAAAATGAAGCAGAGCAAAGAAAAATTCTTATAAACATCATTAGATGAGTTCATGTTCGAAGAGCTAAAGCCCAGTTGTTCAACGTGACACCTTTAAGTATTTATTTAATAAATGAATGATTAAATATTTGTTGAATAAAAGTTTTAAAAGCTTGAATATAAAATACATTTTATGGCCTAAAGTTAACTTTAAATTTGCATAAAATCTATGATGACAAATTGATGTCTTCTTTTGTGTGTTTCTGCTTTTTTATTTCTTAAAATCAGCAGCAATCTGTACAAACTATAGAAGTCAATGGTAAAGTATTCAGAACAAAACTATCAAACTTCTCGTGTTTTAAAGGAAGCTACAATAAACATACTGTACAATACATGCTTTCAGTGTCAAATTAAAACAGCAGTGGGCCTGTATGAATTGGTTTCTAGAGATATTAATTAATACAAACCTTATTTAAAGTTCATGTACAGATTTTACATGTAGCCATGAGGCAGTGGTATATGACTTGTTAAAAAGGTTCACACACAGACAAATATACACCCAAGGTCAAATTCATATAATTCTGTTCTTTGTGCTCATGTAAAGTGATAAAGTTTTATGACCAGGACAAGTAATTAGCATTTTGAGACTGAGTACTTCCTTTGGCATCTTTATGACCTGAGTCGACAATCATCTTCTGTTTTCTTCTGAATGATGGACAGTCTCCACCCTCTTTCTGTTGGTTGTAGGAGTTTAATGCACAACAGATCCTTTAAGATCAGCTCGTCTTTTACAGGCAATGCCAAATCTTATATTTCAGTACAGTTTCCAGACACATTTATATCAATATCACTTTTGTATTCTATAAAGCTTTATGTGGGTCTCCTGGAACTGATTAGGTGAGTCTCAAGTGTTTTAAGGTGATGCAAATTTGTATCACTTCCCCACTGATGCAATGTTCCAGCAACAGGAAGTGTATGCTGCCTTTGATGGGAATGTGCCGATGTGCTAAGCTTTAATGCTCACAATGAACCAGTTTGATTAAGATTCAAATATTTTTCATAGATGCTGCATTAAATTTGGCAGACGAAGCAGGCAGAGGGTCAGGGTTGAGTAAATCTATAACAAATAAAGCTTTTTGTGCAGATTCGTCATAATATGTAGCAGTGACACCGGATCGATTTTTAACTGATCAAATTATTTTACTTTGCATAAGAACTTGAAAATGAGAAAACACTTTGTGACAAAATGAGAAAGGAGAAGGTGTCAAATTTAATTCCTGGAGTTTTTGACTGGAAGTGAGTAGAAGTGTAATTTAACTTTCATACTGAACATTTTGCTTCTACGGAAAAAGAAATCCTGATAATCAAATGAT